TTAACTGTGTTCATGGATGCTTGTATTAGGGTGGTCAATATGAGACTTATTGAGACCTACTGTAGTGGTCTGGTGTGTTTACTGTAGGTGTGCCAAGGTCTTGTGTGTGAAACCCTAGGGGTGGAGTGGTGGCTCTGTGGCTGAGGATCTGTGCCTGTGGCTGGAAGGTTGCCGGTTAAAATCCTGTGGCGGGCAGAGGAATCCTACTCCGTTGGGCCCCTGAGCAAGGCCCTTAACCCCAGCTGCTCCAGTGGTGCCATATAAATGGCTGACCCTGGGCTCTGACCCCCAGCTTCTCTCCCTGTCTGTGTGTCTCATGGAGAGTGTTGAGGTATGTGAAAAAGACAAGTTCCTAATACAAGAAATTGTATATGGCCAATAAAATGATCTTATCTTAGAGTCACTCCAGTGGACCTGGGTGTGTTCTGAAAGCTCTGGGCAAAACTAGCCTGACCCAGGCAAAATAAGATTGACCAGACTATCGGTTTTCATCCTTAAGTGTACAATGTCACAGCAGTACACAATTTCACACAGAAGAAAACAACATATACTGTATGGGTTTATGATGTGCTCATCATATTCTTGAATGAAAGTTCTCACTTAACAGAGAACATTTCAAAATGGTACATGATCAATGAAAAATATCATTAAAGGGTGTCATTTATATATTTTATTTCACAGGGTGAGATGCACTTCAGTTTCTGCAAATATATCTCATGATGAATTAAGTCAACAAACCCATGTATAAGTAAGTGTGCATCTCCCCATGTGCAAAGGTTATTCTGTTTTCAAAAGGTTTAAATAAGTTTTAAAAAAATAGCAAAGCAGGAACACCAAAAGAACACCAAAAGACCATTTTTCTGTTCTAAACTTTCTTTACATGTTCCTTACATTTCAATGCAACTACCACCTTAAATGGAAAACACCAAGCAATCCCACAAGCCACTGAATGCTGGTTAATTTTCTGACAATGCAATAATGGTGATTGCTTGATGTTGTTGAACTATTTTCAGTATACATTTAAATGAACTGACCTCACCGGTTTAAAATGTTGAGCATTTCCTAGACGTTTGCATTCTAGGATGCATTTCCTAGAATGCATCCAAAAACATAGTGCTTGTAGCTGTAATGATTCATCTGTTTAGAGTGTTTCTAAACCACTTTATGATAAACACCACTGCGCTGGTTATGTTCAGTGCTTGAAAGTCAAACGAAACAGCTGAACTCTGTGATGGGGGACTGGAATACTAAGCACCCATAGACCCTGCAGCAGATTCTGGAAGGGGGAGGTTAAACGTACTTGCTATAGTTAACACAAAAGCAGTGATACTGAGTGAGTCAGTAAGGTTCAGAACATCTATGGTACAAAAGTGAATCATACAATAGGCTAGATTCTGCAAAGGCACTGATGTTCTTGAAGGCCACTGACCTTTGAAGGTCACTGCCACCCTATGAAACTTGAACAGAAATTTCACCACTTTTAGAGTTTTAACTCCTGTTTCACATACTGTAGTTTATGTCAATTGGCCTTTTTGGGTCTACCACGCCTTTACTGTAATTTCACTGTGCTTTTTTCACAACTTCTTTTTCATAAAGATTTCTACTAACAGGTACAGATAAATTACTCAGGAGGGATATTGCGTTAGGGACTTCAAGTCCTTTGAAACTCTAATTTGGTAAACAGATGCTTGTTGTTTCTAGCTGGATTGCACCAGCAGGTAAGGCTCCGTTTCCCTGTTGGTAAAACAGGTGGATTGATTTGCAAACCGCCCGCACCCGTCACGTGGGCTGTATTTACACAAAATGAGCTCCCCTGTGGCACACGCGCGCGGGGAGTGGGGGAAACACAGCCGCCGGTGAAATCTCCACTCAGGCATCGAGACAGAGAAGGGGGGAGTGTCGGCTGCGGACGCAGTCAGTGGGTCGCGTTTAGAAAGGATTACACGGCAGATTAAAAGCGCCATTCCGCTGCGAGAGACGGCGTTTTCACACGCTCTGACTCCCCGGCAGGTGCGGTACGACATCCCCTGCAGGTCAAATTCATTCGACTGATGAATTAACGTACTTCATGAGACAGAGTTCTGTCGCCAGAGAACTGTGTCTCGCTTTTTATAATTAGTACATAACCTTATACACGTTACAAAAAATAATGACAGTTCTGCCCCGTCCTCATCATCAGTTTAATTGACCAATCTCCCTGCTACTTTCTTACTTTTGACCCTAAGGAAACTCAAGGGTGTTCAGAGAGGTTAGGCCTTTATTTGAGGTACAGACCAATTTGGTTTAAATATTAATAACTGAGCGTAACTTTATATATAACTGTATATAAGAGCGCTAGTGTGAGGTCAGGCTTCTAGAGTCCGGCTGGAAAGATACGGGTTCGAATCTCAGGTGGGGCGCTTCTTGTCCTCATGAGCGAGCTAGGAATGTGCTTGGTACACCCCCCAACTACAATGTCTAGACAAATTAGTCGCTGGGGGTAAACATTTCAAGTACATTAATGAATTTCTGGTCATAGAACCCATTGCTTTCAATCGAGAGAACGAATGTTTTAGCTAGGAACCCTTAAAAACGACTTATTTGTTATTATTCCTTTCTTGACTGAAATGACTATCTGTTTGCTCGTGCTCTTTTAAAACAAAGCGTTACATACTGCAGAGGCGTGAGGAAGATCAATATTACTAAACCTTATATTTATATTTAACCGTGTAACAGATGGATTGCAAGAACAGGCTTAATAAAACAGGTATATAACACCGTAAAACCCTGTATAATAAATACTACTATCTTTAAAAGACGATAAACAAGTTTTGTATTTTCACCTGATCACAATGCCCATAGCAGAACGTATTGATTCCCTCTGCGAAGAGGATGGTATCATTAACTGCGATTCACAGAGCAACAGAGGCATCAGAAATGAGGTGCGTGAGATTTTGGCCCGGTGAGATCTGCTTGCATCGCCTAGTTGAGCGCCTGCGCCTGGACTTCGACTGAGGTGGTGGAGGAGAGATGCCTTTAACCTTCTTAACCGGGAAACCGAGTCAGTTAGCGTTAACTACTAATTACCGACTATCAAACGGGATGGACAGACCGAATAGCCTCCTTTCGTTCGTAACCTTTCTTGAATTCTTCTATAAATGTAAAGGTATGTTAAGTGTTAAAAAATACTCTTAAAATGACTTCGATTCAGTAAGTCTATGGAGCAGGACTCGTCCTGGTTTCGGTAGCGTTTGCCCTCGATTCAGCGGGTGAAGGAATTCCTCGCTCTTCCGCCTGACCTGCGGTGTGGAAGAGCTGCTGGTGTTGGACCTCAGTGGTAACGTGGGACCCTCCTGTCTGAAACTGCTATATAAACGTGAGGTCTTATCATCACCTTCACCACCATCATCATCATCAGCAAGGGTGACGGTGTGGAGGAGCACTTACCAGTACTTTGACACTCTATTTTCTTTATTTTAAGTGATTTTAAAATACAGTGTATTAGAGTGCTTTAAGTCATGCCAGGGATGAGCATGGCTTGGCAAATACTGTACATGACTGTTACTAATACTATTAAGAAGATGTCCTGTGCATAACAGCCGTAAAGCCAGAGAAAAAAGAAGATTGGGCACATAAGAAAGTAATATCAGTGAAAAGGACCTTGTTAGCAATGTAATATCCATCCATTTTCTAAATACTTTCTTGAATGCAGGGTCATAGGGAGCCAAAGCCTATCCCAGCAGGCACAGGTGCAAGGCAGGACACACGTTGGATGGGACCAGACGCAAACTCTAATACAAACACACGCACACCTAGGGACAAGTTTCACAATTTACCTACCACTTTGCCTTTGGACTGTGGGAAGAAACTGGAGCACCTGCAGGAAACACACATAAACCTAGGGAGAACATGCAAACTCCACACAGACAGTACCCCAGGGATTGAACCCAGGGACCCACTACTGCGAGGCAGCAATGATAGGGTCTGTGCCAGGTCTAGCAAGGAAGGGAGTCTACTTTAATGTTGGACCACCAAAATTTTAAAGCAACACAATTGGACTGTTTTGGCACCCTGTTGTTCCACATATTTAAAGCTGCTGAGTCTGGATTTATGAATGAAAGGAGAGGCAGGTTCTTCTTAGAAAAGCACATAGCATTAGGATCATACTCCTGTGGTCTATTTCTCCCACCCTCTGTCTCAGGTGAGGAACATTCTGACCCAGTTCTAGCTCCGCTGTCCACACAGTGGGGTGATGCGATTACTGTCTAGGCTGCTGAGTGACATCTGTCTGCTATCCACCCTAATCTCCTAAAAGGTCTCTGCAGCAGGGCTCTGAGGTGAGCGCACACACATGCACTCATGCCCTCCACTGGACTGTGGCCTGTCTGCTCATGTTTACAGACACACGGTTCATGCAGCGGCCAAAAACAGGCCACTGGGTTAAGTCTCATCCCCTCTTTATCTCTGCTCATACCTTGAGACCATGCAGGATCACAGCTGGGAGCTCTCATGCTACTGTGTTCATTTCAAGCAGTGGCTCATGGCAGGTGAGTGTTAAGAGCTTAGCAGCACCATTAGCTTACCTAACAACAAACTGAGGGGGGGTGGTGGAGAGGAGATTTTCCCTGTCATGATAGCAATCGATTAGACAGATTTAGCAGCAAAAAGGCTGAATCATCCTTTGTCTCTCTCACTTGGACTGATCCCTGGTCTTTCAATAGCCATACTGCATGTTGTGATAGTGCAGAAATCCGTGGGAAACAACTAGAGATAATTCAGTATTCTGTTTCTATGTTGTGATGTTCCCAGATTCCTGCACACCACCTTTTAATGATATAAACACAATCCAGTTTATGGTTAATACCCTCCACAGTGATTGGTGGTGCTCAGTGTGTCCAGAGCAAGAATGCTGCTGTTTACTGCATATTTCTCGCACAAGGGGAAGGAAAGGCTCACATAGTTCTATAACATGCATGATCATAATTATAGAGTAATGCGAAACAAAATGGCAAAGAAACTTCTTCTTTTCTCAGTTGGCCTTTTAGGCAGTTTTGATTGCTCAGCAGTATTAGTTCCTTCATGAAAGCATCTGAGCATTAAAAAACTTGCATTTATGCATGTGTGCTTTTAGAACAATAATGTATATAGATTCTGGACATTGATAGAGTGTTTCAGGCATCATTTTGATTTGCTGATCATTACTGAATGATGCATAAGCACTAAATCACCTCATTACAGAGTTGATTCGACACCAATGAGGCGGTTTATCCTGCTGAATGCTAAACAAACTGACAATAAAAAACACATAAGAAATGACCAATATGCCAGCGTTACAATGGTCTCTCCAGTAGTCGAGCCCAGTGCTCCTTATACTTATATAGCACTTTTCTGGACACTCCCCTCCACCACCACCAGTGTGTAGCCCCAACCTGGATGATGTGACAGCAGCCATAGTTCAGTAGTACACTC